TATATTTCTAAAATTTCCTCTTGTCATTCATCAACTTATTTAAATAATAATCCCGGTCATTGAAACCATATCACTACATGCCCTGCAACACCTGTGAATAGTTTAAACTACGGTTGCATTTCGCAACTGACCTTAAAATGTTTAGGCGTATTTATGATTGCTACCATAAAATCTATTAGGAGAACCCAACTGAATAATTTGGCTGAGGGAAAGAAATAGATAGTTTGCATCCACACTTTAGTTTTTAAGAACGACAGCAGATTTTCTTACAACAAACGGTGTGCAGAGCATGGTTCATCGATGCATTGAAGCTTATTGAACCTGAAGAAGACCGTGGAACTTCAGAATATAGGGAATCGTAGTCACACGCTTGTCACCATTCAAATCTAGGCGTGTGTTATGCGGGGCAAAAGCAACAGTTCAGCGATAAATGAAAGCTTTGCTAACTCTGAATAGACTTGAAACATAATTTTTCTACGGTAGTTGGATAAATAACCATTCTAATACGAACCCTATACAACACACACGCAGAGATACCGTGCAGTGGTGAGTGCAAAGAGGATATCGTCGGACACAAATGTGGATGTATTCATACTATTGCGAGAAGACCTAAGTGCACAAGGTAGCTTCATCTTGTCCGGATGTGTTCTGGAATTTCAACCAAACAAACATATTTCTCCCAGGCATAGTTAGGTAAAAACACGAATTGCAAAGTGTGAAGAGTTCAAATAAGCAGCATTCTTGTTTCCTTCCTTAACTGATTTAGATTGGAAAATCGTTGCATTGTTAAAGCTGCAGTTCAAGAATTCATTTGCCCTGGTTCCTTCCTCACAGATGCGTAGAGGCTAAAAATGTTCTCATACACGTGTCTGAATGCGGTTGATGTAATTGCCTTAAAGTGGACCTTTAGTCACCTTCAAATTTGGAGCTTTTATCTGACCCCGAAAATGCATCATAACTTTATTGGGGGTGAAAATTTCCAAGAGATGAAGGGTTTACCGCTGGTTGCAATAAGTTATTCTACCTTGTAAGCACCCTTATATGGACTGGTAATTTCTAGTCATGGTATAAGGTATAAGAAGAGTGTACCTTAAAATGTAGCTGACCTGTCAGCTTACACGAATTCTCACATGACTTTGAAGTGATGGCCTATGCGGTATTCAATTGGATGCGAATTTGTTGGGTGATTTAACAAAGCTGATTTCAAAGTTAAGTTTTATAGATTGCAAATCGGATCGAGTGTTGACGTTCTGACACACTTTGAACCGTAGCTGTCAAGTTAGCATGCGAACAGCGAGACAGATAGCATTTTTTAGGCTTTATGTTAAGCAGATAAAGGTGACGGAGCAATTGAGTGTTTACAAAGTTCAAATTTTTGTCATTGTTACAATGGCATATCACAGTTAGAAATTCAGTTAGTAGAGCTCTTAAAACGCGCCTAATAAACATGAGGTATACTGGAAGATAAACTCGCAAAAGTCAATGTTTCACTAAAGTAAGCTCGGTCATAAAACTCCCATTTCTCCGAAGATAACTATTAATTAAATAGATACAGAGAAAACCATTTTTGTTCGAGAATATGAGATCTTATCACAAGAGATCTGTAAGTGAAAGCATCCCTGTATGCATGGGGCTGTAATTTATTTATTATGCAGTTTAGATACAAATACGTAAGCAGTCACCAAACATTGTGGAACCAATCGACCTCATCAGCGTTTTCGTGATGAACTTATCAATCATTAGGAGATTTAATGCAATCCTAATTGCTTTTGGTTACAGCTGCTAAACCTCTGGCATTAGCACAGGCTGAAAGGCTACCATTTCAAACTGGAAGAACAACACAGCCGGCTAAAGTGAAGAGGGAATTTCTTCTTTCTACGTGTTTGCCACATAAAGAATTAACTCACAGGACCTGTTAATTCAGGCCTTGTATTAAATGCGTTCATAGCGCGTGTAGAAAATGCGCTGGGCGCATTACAGCATATCTATACACAGGTGAAGAATAAGCACAGTTGGAAAACAAAGATCATCAACGGACACCCATTTGACTTGGAAACACAAAGCCGATGACATTTCAAGTTGCGTAAAACCAAATCTGAATGATTCTGACGGAACCATTTTGTCCAGCAAAATCACTGTTTACGGCTTCCCCGTTTGTACTTGTATTTCCTTTTCTTTTGAAACATTTACCAACCTATGGGACATGTTAAGATTTGGCACTTTATCCTAAATACACCCCTGACCGTTGACTAAATCCTTTGGATTGGCGCAACTTTTCGCAAAGAAAGTGATACTGCAGTTATTCTGTTGATTTTGCGAAGTAATGCTAGTGCCAACGCAGTCAAATTAGTCCTGGTCGATGCGAAAAGTTACTACAATGGCCCGGCGCTTTGCCTGGTTTCTAACACATGAAGCTTTGCATTACGTAGCAATGTTCTCAAGCCGTTTTCGTTCTCCGACTTTTCGTGCTAGGCGACCGCTGATTGATCTGGTCCCAAAATCTTTGAATCATTTGCGATCGACTGAAATACGACAATATGATACGACTTTCAGTTCACTGTCACCACAACTAATTCCCAGCTACTGTAATATTCGCTACGCTGTTATCCTATTCTAATAGCATTTATCTCCTCGTTAGTTTTCATTTGATGTAGTTTTGCAGCAAGCAGAAGCAATAGTGTCCGCTAGCTGCTACACGAACGTGGATCTGTACCGACACTACTGGAATAAAATACATGTCTTTAGACCATATTTTGCTTCACACCACTAGCTTACACTTGAAGTGCATGTACAACACACGATAACAATATAAACATTATGCGCGTCGTATTCCTGTGTCCACGTTTCATGACCAACTTTGTCGGCAATTTGAAAACCTTTTTTATTATTTAAATTAAACCGTAGGGACTTAGTTAATAAACGTGTGCCATGATTTTTATAATAATTTTATTGGTGCGCAACTACGGTCAAGTAAGCTAGTGAGTGTATACCTCGTTTTTTGACAAGTTTTGCAATAGAAGTTGACTTAATCACAGTAACCAGTAAATCCAGTGAATAAATTCCGCTTCTTACTACGCAGCACGCGGTGAAAGTCAGTGGAATTTATTGCAAAACTTTTATGGCTATTTCGATCAATTTACTCAAGTGGTGTTATATAACTATGGCTCAAGGTCATTTAAAAAGTTGGGCCGTACAGACAACATAGCATGAAATCGAAAACAATTGAACTTTGTAGGTTCGAATGCATATGACCAACCTGATACATTTGTTAACACATTGCGCCGAAAGTGAACGTATGTGATAGCGCACAGGAGAACATCGTTGTTTTAACATATGCCCTCACGAGTCGTAATGTTTCGGTTATGACGGAAGTGCCAAGGATTCCTAAGTCAGTTATCCCTATACCAGTATCATAATGTCAGAGTGCTGTTTTCCAACAGATGGCATTCAGTGACGACTTCTATGTGTTGTGAAGTTACTAGAAAGCAAACTGAAACTGCTTCAAATTTTTCAAGATCTGACTGTTTTGTAACTAGTTAATTTTTTGTTCAATACTTCTGCTTCATGCTGTCAGCAGTCGGTGTGGAAACCGTGTCTAGACTTAACGCCGAGATTCCCTATGAATGTCCTCCCGCGAGTGGACATTTGAATGACAGTTTTTAATCTACAGCGGTACAGCTCTCCAAATGCTGATGACAAATGAGAAACAGCATGAATGAATCAAAGTGGTGTTTTAGCTTAGGACCACCACATACCGATAAAAGTTGTCGCCAACTACATGTCTTTACCCCTTAGTGGACGGTAACTTTAGAATCATTGGATAGTTCCCAGAAACGCAAAAAGTTAACTTCAACTAATCCACGCAGAACAAATTAGGACCCTGTTCCGGTAATAATACCAACTATGACAGTCGTCGTTACAAATGATCTTTGAAGTTAAGGGACACTAGGTTTCTCATACTAAGGAGCTCATAAGGTCATTGAATTGTTTGGAAGGACACAGGACCCTATCTCCTAGTGATATACAGAAAACGCTCAGCTAGCTAGAAGAAGGGAACAAGCCTTGGTTTCTGTCTTTTTTGTAGATTACAAACTGTACACATAACACGATTTCGTTTTCAATCTTTCCCTAACAGTTGAATTAAATCAGTACCGCGACTTCCGTCATAAGTTGCAATTCCTATTCACTTCAAAATTTGGCAGCCTGCTTTTAAGGAAACAATAAATAAAGTCAAATAGTGAGACAGATATCTGAGATCGCGTGTAGTTTATTAACGCCACACACACAGGTAGGTTTTTAAGAAAGACCAAAAGCTACTAATCACCAAATAGATGAAAATTACACTAGCTTTACGGCTTTCTTATATATATTCCTTTTCTTTATTAAGCACTATCGAATTTACCAGTTTGAGTAATTAAAGTTTGGCTTTTAAAATGATAACTATTACTGGCATCAGTAGGACTTATAAAGGATTGCTTATCTTCCGTTCCGTGAAAAGTGAGTACATTTGGGATAAAGGACAGTTAAAAAGGAATTATTTGATGTTCTCAAAGGACCAAATTATTGCGTGTGCTACGCGTTTTTCCGAGGAAATGATGATTAGTGCTGGACACTTAATATAATATTAAATTGCACGCTCAGTAAAATGTGCTGATATTATGCAGAAACTGTAATACCAAGTCTACCAGCAATCAGCATCAAACGGTGTTGCATAGTGGCACAAACAAATCATGTGATTAAATCGGTCTATGGCTTATATTTTCTTTAGCCTGGATCTGGGACCAAGGGTTTATGAATGTTCAAATGTTTTCAGATCAACCCGTGTGTACTCGGTATGACCAGCGGAAGAACTAACTTTTACTTGTGTATAATGATGTATATCGAAATATCAACAATTGTTCAGAATAAGTTGCATTAGCGATATAATTAGGATGGGAATAAGTGGGACGCAAGCATTTTAACCAAAGTATGCATTTTGTGGATGAAACAATGCAACTTACCAACGTGAGAGCTTTTGGCTTGCTTTTGCATTCTATTCATGCAATTTGCACACAGCTTCGGATCCGTTCAGTTGTGTGCCCGGAGTTCCAAATACAATTTAACGTAACTGTATCTGGTTCGTTCCGACACCCCAGTTAGGAGCCTTGAGCAAATTTACTTCTTACACAGAATTGCTGTGATCTCTGCCCTTAATCTACCTCGGCTTATAGCAAACGAGTGTTTCCGTCTCGCTGGCGCCAGTCCAGCAATTGTGAGGCACATTGCCGAGGGACTGGTGCATCATCAGCCCAGGTCTGCTAACACGTCAGCTCTCATTGGTTAGTTTGTGGTACCTTTACGCATAACCCGGCACATCATTCTTGGGAATTTCGTGTGCGTTCACTAGCACGGAAAAGGCGTGAATCATCAGCTTTACCGGGTAAACACAACTGGGTTGTATTGACCGTAGAAGCACATTGGCATCTTTAAACCGAAACAGCCTGCAGAGAAACGTTTGGTCTGGTGGACAAAGCGGAGAATCATGGCAAACAGTGGGCAAGGTCGACGTACACGATCGATCATTTGCTGTGCGGTTGGTCCCAAACGTCTAGACTACCAACATTTATGTCACCATTTATGTCATCAGCAAATTTTTCCTAAGTAAAAGCTTCACTGTGTCCACCCTAAGAGGGGGTCGATTTAAGCTGCTTAAATAAAAAGTCGCTATTCAGGCATTTAAGAGTGGTGGCATTATAACCCATAATTACGTGTGAGAAGGTACTAGTTGTATTCTTGATTTCAGTTAGTTATATTTGTACAAATTTACATTCACTTTATAACCCTGAGGAGCAACCGGTTTTCGAAGCTCATTATGTATGTGCGTCTACGTTCATTGAATCAGTTATATTTTAACACCGCAGCCCTTTATTTTGTTCTGTCCACAGCTTAGCTTCGACGTATGGTTGCTCTTCTACATACATCCAACTTTTCCACTTGATCTTTGTTTTCTTTTTGTCACGAAAATACTGATTTGTGCTGTCCTGCAATCAGGAGTTTGTCACTTTATGAAATGTGTGGTTGCGGGAGTCGCTTAAGCGCAACATTGATCGCATCTATTTACAAGATCAGAATTGTGTGTGCGCAAGGGCAGTAGTACTTCACAGACCAGAGAGATGCGCTTTAAGCTTTAATGGGCTGAATAATATCCGAATTTCCAAATGGCTTGACAAACACAAGGTATTATAGGGTCGAATGAATATAACTAAGTCATTTAGCTGTCCTCTTATACAACTTATCAAAGTGCGTTTACAGTTCACCAGTAATTTGGGTGGTTTGCATGTACAATTGCTAAAGCAAAGATATGCACATGAATTCCGTCGCTGGAAGCTATTTCAGCTAATTTTGGCTAAGATAGCACCGAAAGATTTGCAACCAACAAAAGTTGGTGGTGATCAAATTGAAGAAAGCACAAGGTGCTGATGACAGTTGTCTAGAATATAGAGCAGAAGCGAACAGTACATCGCTGCTCAAGTGTTACTACAGCAAAAGGCTGCCTAGAAAACAAATCAAATAAACTATGCAACGCACTATAGTCGTAAAGCTGACGTTAATATTAAATAAAAAGGAATGGACCGAAAATCAACATGCAGTCTCACTTCCAACGATCTACATCTTTCAGGCAGGTTTGTGTAGTACATCTGTGTAAGTGGCAGTTCCGAATGAGCCAACAAGAGGTGGAACATCAAGTGCATAGAACGACTATTCGTCCTTTGAACAGCAATCACTCGTTAAATCCTCTTTCAGACAGCTCGGGGTCTTTTGCTCCATACAGGCAGTTCGAATTCGTCAACATCTGGACTGCTTGCACATCGTCTACCGAAAAACAGGAACTCAAACAATCAGCCACCTGTTAAGTGAAACATAAGCATGAGTGCTGAGAATAAAACCAAATTATTACTATTTATCTGCAAAAGACATTGCTATTAAACAGGAATTTCTGTCTTATCATACTGCCTTATCATACTCTTTGTAAAATGTCCTTATAACATATCGAGCAACGTATATGAGGATTGGGAGTACGAGTATTTTAATTTGAGTATTTGCAATTTAAGTTAACCTTCTTCGGGAAATATGCCCGCTGCATAGAGTTAGTAATAACTGTCTGTTTTCGATACATAAATCCTCACAAAAGCGCTGAACAGATAAAGATCGCGGCCACAGCATGCATGCACGAATATGACGCTTGTTAAAATTGTTGCTGTCGATTCCCGTGGAAGCTGTGCACAGGTTCGGTATTTTGCTAGGGGCTTAGCAAATTATTGTTTTCTATAGAGCTGACTTTAGCAACTCAATAAGCGATCTGGCGATATAATGCAAGACAGCGCAAACACAGGGTGTTTTAACCAGATTATTCTTTGGAATTTCTCATTTAATGTATGATAGCAGAAGCAACCAGTATAGGATTATAATTTTAAGCATTATTTGTACATGCGTCTTAGAATGTTTAAAATTACAGATTAAATTAAAAATGTGGTTCACTAGGTTTGAAATTGCTGTTTTATAAAGTATATTCTAAACCATCTCAAATGAAACATTCCACGATTCATTGACTTACATGATGGTTACGTGACTGAAGCTTAGGTTCACGTGACTGCTGCTGGGCATCGTCATGGTTCGCAACACAGCAACAAGGAAACCAAGGGGTACAACGCCGCCACAACCGCAGAACATGATTTTTGTAATTGGAAATCTAATTGGAACAACATCCAATTACGGTGAGCATCAAGGATGTAACATCAAGGATGTAAATTTAAATATAACGAGAGTGAAAGCATGATAATGCATACCAGACTCCGTTTGGTTTTTGCATAGAATACATGATGAACACACTCGTGAGGTGAATTGTCGGGCTGGCACAGAAATGTGACAGAGAGTACTGGTGTAGCGTGCTACAGCTGGCCTAGCGATCGCATGGGAACCAGTTGCAGCAGAACTCGTCTCCTAGCATAACCTTAAGCTTAAACTTGGAACCGAGTGGTCAAAACTAGCGTGTGGTTAACAGCGTAGAGCCACCTACCCGAACAGCTAGAACTGACAAACAATATGGAAGCCAGAGTGTGCCAAACTCAGCCACCTCACTCTAGCATGGAGTGGTGTTTCCCAGCGGTGTGTCTGGGTCATATGACACTCGATTGCATTCATGTTTAGGTAGCACTACCGAAACTCTGAAATAGGAAACGCCCACTTATCCAAAATTGTGAACTTGTGGAAGACGCAGAACTGGATGAAGATAGTATGCTCTGACGCTCATGGCTCAAAGGCAAAATCTATGAGAGGCAAACTATTAGAGGACCGGAAATAAAGTGAATCCATATGCCAAAGAGTGGGAATCTAAAGCATGCAAGCTAGTGTGTTTCGCGTCGTCCGTCATCCAAACTAAGCTCACAGTAGGAACAAAGTCTACTTCAGTTGGCACTTCAGTCGGGTGCCGAAGCGGATACCACCCTATTTTCAGCTCACCGTCTTCTTGCTTCGTCATGTAACCTTTGTATATTGCCTGAGATCCCTTGGAGTGAGTATCGCCAAAGGAAGCAAATACCGCAAACCAAAAACGAAAGATCAATCTTTGTCCATGGTGTATTTAAAATCCAATATTCCGACGGTTTACAAGTCCCAGCTCGGGACTTACAATACAGGAGCTAGCTCTTGAGCGCCTCCGTCTTCAGGACTTGGTTGCCAGCTTAACGTCAAGGTTAGCCATATCACCCAACTATAAAGGATGTAATGTGTGGGTGCTAAAGGTCTTGCTCCACTTCAATCAAATAGTAGAAACGGTGTTCGGAAGCTGGCAACAGTTACGCTCCATACTGCCTTCAGATATCCGTCTGAAAGTGGTCTAAGCCAGACTACCATTGGCTAATCAGGCACAATAGCAGCGAGATTCCGTCGCAAGCGTGTCTGCATTTTTGAATCAAAACGCAGTTCAACTCCCGTGCCGTCTGAAGAAGCAACAGGCAGTCCGCCACAAGTCGCTTCTGAAGGATAAGAAAGCTGCTGCTCTGTGCAACAGACCGCAGTGGTCGTTGGCAATAGGCCAGCAATTCATCTGAGAAACGGTTGTCAGTCGGCCCCCCAATGGTCGGAGTTAACCCATAGGAAACCTTTGTGTTCAGGTGCTCACTTGGCATCCGTAGATCACACTTATATGTGTATGAACATACAAGCTATTCTCAGCAAGTTTGCAGACCATCAATCTCATCAAACTTCAGTGTCATGGGACCGCATAATAGTAACCGATACATGGCTGAACGACTTGATTACTGATACCGAGATCTCATTATCTGGTATGTCAGTCGTACGCATCGAGCTACCCGTCATTGTCCACCTTAGGAAGAGAACAGGTTCTAACCTCGGCTTTGCTAAACCTGCTGGCACAACCTTAAAGCCACGTTCTTCTGGTATGAGCGTTCAAGCTGCACTCCTTATACTCCCGGTTGCTCTCAGTGGGCAGTGCAAGGCGAAACGGTAGGAGTTAATCACTGTTTCAACGCTGTACAATCATGGCACTTCTCCAGTGCGTTTCAGGACAGGAAACAAAGAGGTCATCCTGAATCTGGTTTCTACCATCCCGGAACTCATTATAAACGTAGCAACAACGTACAGTTATTGTGGTGCAGTGCTCATGCGAAGCCAGTGTTACACTACGCTCACTGAGCAGCAAAACTTAAAGAATGTACCTAGGAATCTCATGTCGTAACCAACTATGGTAATCTGTACGTCCTCATTGGTGTATCAACTTAGTCTTTTCCAGCCGAGTGGTACCCTGAGATGCCCTGCGAGGAATTCGTAAACAAATTCAACTGGCACGTAGTAAGCGCATCTGAAACCAGAATTCACCGACCCTAAAAGATGAAGTTGTTCCTAAGGAGCAGAATTCGTGAATTCGTGGTATTGGGGGACTTGGCAGGGCTCGGTCACGTAGACTCTCCGAGTGAAGACAATTCGGACATCTATACAATGCAAAGAAAGCATTGCGTCAGACTCGTCTGGGAGGATAAAGTACAGAACCAACAATACCTTGTGACAAAATTATGTTCTAACATGAACCTGCTATACGGA